TGTCTGTCATTAAAACCGATTCGTCGTCAGATCAAGGCAAGAGAGTTTATCAGTGAAAAAGCAATCCTTTTCAGCCGGCTGATAGCCCTGGAAAGATTATCCTTGTGACCTGCTTCCTGTGCTAACACAATATAGTAGGGTTGCCAAGTCTGGGTTGGAAAATACCTGGAGACTTTGGGGGTGGAGCCAGGAGAGGACGGGGTTTGGAGAGGGCGGGGTTTGGGGAGGGGAGGGGCCTCAGCACAGTACAATGCCATCTAGTCCACCCTCCAAAGCAGCCGTTTTCTCCAGGGGAGCTGATCTCTTTCAGCTGGGGATCAGTTGTAAAAGCAGGAGATCCCCAGGCCCCACCTGGAGGCTGGCAACCCTACAATATAGGCTGGATCCAACCAGCTTTTCTGGTGGTGAAAAAGGGAGGTCCTGTTTCCCTACCCCCTTAAAGTCTGTGATAGGGTTGCCAACCTAATCTGGAGATTAGGACTGATCAGTTCCCCTGGAGAAAATGGCTGCTGTGGAGGGTAGCCTTATACCCCACTGACACTAATGCATCATACTCCACTGCGGTCGTTGCCAAATGCTGCCATTTCCGGGCTCCGTCCACAAATCTCCAGGAATTTCCTAACCTGGATGGCAACCCTAGCTGTGTCACGGGGCCTGCATGTGTCATGTGGGATGGAGGACGCAATCGGGGATGCTGACTCTGGATTGGGAATCAGGTTGCCGACTGCCAGGAGATCTCCTGGAATTACAACTGTCTTCAGCCTGCAGAGATCAGTTCCCCTGGAGAAAATTGGCAGCTTTGGAGCGTAAACTCTATCCCACTGAGCATCCTCTCCTTCCTAAAGCCTGCCTTCCCAAGGCGACACCCTCATCCGGAAGTTTCCCAACCCAGAGCAACCTTCTGCCCAATCCAAAATGGAGAGACCATACTGGCCGACCTTCCAGGGTTGTTTTAAGGATTATGGCACCATAGTGAGTGCATTAAGTGGTACTTGGAATTCCTGAAAGCGATGCAAATGCTATTATTTTACTTGAAGCAGGTCTGCATCTTGTCAATCCCTGACGGAGAGACCTCCTGCAAATATTTTACGAGGAACCTTGTGATCCATGACTGCAATAAAGGTAATGTGAGTGAGGTCTCAGGCCGAGTGAGGGCAGCCCGGCTCTGGCTGTCCTCTGGGGCAGGATTAAAGGTAAAGGTAAAGGTTCCCTTGCTCGAAAGCCAGTCAAGTCTGACTCTAGGGTTGCGGTGCTCATCTCTGTTTCAAAGCCGAAGAGCCAGCACTGTCCGAAGACGTTTCCGTGGTCATGTGGCCGGCGCACGGAACGCTGTTACCTTCCCACCGAAGTGGTACCTATTTATCTACTTGCAATTTCTTGCTTTCGAACTACTAGGTTGGCAGGAAGCAAGCAGACACCCAGACGTGGCCTGGCCCTCTCTCCCACTCTGCTGTAGGATCGCCAACCTCCAGGTGGGGCCTGGGAATCTCCTGGAATTACAGGTAACCTCCGGACAACAGAGATCAGTTCCCCTGGAGGAAAATAGCTGCTCCGTAAGGTGGACTCTATGGCATTATACCCCACTAAGGCCTCTCCTCTCCCCAAACCCCATCCTTCCCAGGGTCCACCTCCATAAATCTCCAGGAATTTCACAACCCGGAGTTGGCCACCCTACTCTGCTGCTTTTCACACTCCTCAGGACCAGTGGGCAATGGTCTTAACCAACTGTAAAGGAGTGTAGTAGGGTGGCACCAGATGAACCCTGCTTATGTTTCAGACTTCTTTTAAAAATAAATTTTAAGCATATAATCCATATTTTCAGAAGAGTACAAATTCTAAAGAAAAGTCAATTGGCCAAAGAGCGGGTGGGGAGCTGGCATCCAGGTTGAGGGCACTACCTGTGGTGAGGCCTGGTACCCTACCCCCCGTCCAGGATGGCATATGGCGTGATCCTCCTTTCCTTTAGGCACCAGGCCAAACCATTTCTTTACCCAGGCTTTTAACTCAGGGCATCTCTTGAGATTTTTTAATGGTCTGTTCCTAGCCTGAGGACTGTTTTATTAATATCATTTTACTGCTCCATTTTATGTGCTTTTATGACCCAGCTTGCTTTGGCATGGTTTGTTTTTTTTCTTGACTTGGATTGTTTTATTGGTATATCTTTATCGGTATGATTTGTTTTGATTTGCTTGGGTTTTGTTTTATCGTTATTACCGTAGCAGGGTTATTTTTGGGCAGGAACGCACAGGAACGGTGTTCCGGCTGGCTCCCGAGTTGGCCACGCCCAGCAGGAACTCATTAGCATAATAGGCCACACCCAACAGCAGGAACTCATTAGGATTGGCTACATTAGGGGTGTGTGGCCTAACATGCAAAGAAGTTCCTGCTACAAAAAAGCCCTGGGTTTTGACAATAAACAAGGTAAACAGAATAAGAAGCAAAAGGTGGATGTGGCTGGATGACCACACTTCTGGTAACATGGGGGTGTGGCCTAATATGCTATTGAGCTGTGCTGTCAGGGGTGTGACCTAATATGCTAATGATTTTCTTCTGTTGGGTGTGGCCTATTATGCTAATGAGTTCCTGCTGGGCTTTTTCTACAAAAAAAGCCCTGGTTATTAGCAGATCTGGAAAGGTGGCAGGCAAATGTTCAAAATCAATGAATTAATCACGGTGCTTCATAGGGGTGCCAGAACTCCTTCCTTGAGTTCTTCACTTGTGACATCATCGCGTTTCCAACATTGGGGGCCACGCTCTAGGTTTTTGGCTAAACTCTATGGTTTTTTGGACCTCAACCATACAATTTTGCCCAAAACCTAGATCGTCACTCCCAACATCGGACATACGATGACGTCACTCCTGGGTGACATCATCGCACCAGCACCAGCAGTGCTGGGAAAGGGCTTCTTGGGGGTGGGGCTTCCCCACCAGCCAGCTGGGCTGTGGCGGATTGGCCTCCTCTCCAAAATCAGGGGATCCCCTGACCCCACCAGGGGAATGGCAACCGTAGTGCCTCAGCATAATTCAAGAGTGATTTGAATGTTGGACTAGGATCTGCGAGGCCCAGGAACAAATCCTCACGCTGCCATGAAGACCGCCGGGTGAGCTTGGATCAGTCTCATGCTCTCTGCCTCACCTACCTCGCAGGTTTGTTGTGAGGATAAAACACAGGGGGTTTTTTTGCCAGTTCCTTGGAAGTAGTTTGGGATAAAAAGGCGATGGGATGGAATGAGTGGAACAAATCTAGCTCGCCACCTAGTGGTGCATAACACTAAAAGAGCTAGAACCTTTGGCTGCCAGACAATCTTAGTATCTCCTGGCTATTCTACAGACAATGCCTTATTGTTGTTGTTGTTGTGAAGGGTGGGCGGGAAAAGTCTGTGGACTAGATATGGAAAAACCATGATTTGTCCCCTTCTGAACTAGGAGATTTGCTAGAAGTGAAAACCACTAAATCTGTACGAAGAGAATGAATCGATCCTCCTTGGTAGAGAGCACTTTGGGCACACTTGTAAATCATTAATGTGACATTCACCAGTAATCAGAACACAGTAAGAGAAAAAACAGTGCAGGGAATCTGACAGGAAGTACTGTCTGTCTTCAGAGTGGAAGCAACTGCCCAAACGTATAATTTGTTACCACAAAGCCAGTAATAGTAGATATTAGAGTGTTGGACCAGGAGGTGGGAGATCCAGATTCAAATCCTGAAGTTCGGTGGGTGACCTTCATTAACCAGTGACATACTCTCAGCCTAACCTACCTTACAGATTCAGATGGGTAGCCATGTTGGTCTGAAGCAATAGAACAAAGTTTGACTCCAGTGGCACTTTTAAGACCAACAAAGTATAAGGTGTAAGCTTTCACATGAAGACGTGTGCGTGCACATAAAAGCTTATACCCAGAATTATACTTTGTTGGCCTTAAAGGTGCCACTGGACTCAAACTTTGTTCTGCCTTATAGCGTTGTTGTTGTGAGGGTAAAATGACAGAGCGCACCGCATACATTGCCCTGAGCTGTTTAGAGGAACAGGGATATAAAAATCTGACAGAATTTAAGAATGACAGCATCACTGCAGGGGACAGTACATCTGAGACACCAAAATTTTGATAGCTGGGATATCAAAATGTCTTTGGTTAATCCTGTAAATACCAGTTTGCTAGCCCAGTTAAACTTATTTCCAATGAGATCTCACTCTTCCATTTGAGTCGTTTATAATGCAGTCCTAAGCAGAGTTACAGCCTTCTAAATCCATTGAAGTCCATGGGCTTAGAAAGGCATAACCCTGTTTAGGATTATTCCGTTAGTGCGACATTTTTAGCTTCCGAGACGCATTCGAGTATTCATGTTCACCTATAAACAGGGTCCTGGAAGCTGCATATGATGCCAGGAGTCGCTGTTAAAACTTACGGAGCCTCTTTTGAGGTGCCTTACGTTAAAGAGATTGGGAGCAACCACGTAAAATATGAGAGGCAGCCGTTGCTAGAGGGGACCTGACAAGCCTAACTGAGAAACCTGGCCCGAGAGCGCAGCGAAGCCCCAAGATGGAGACGATCGACGGAGTCTGAGTAATTCATACTCCCTTCAACCCCTTTTCCCTTTGGGGCATTAAACAGTAGTTGGGAATGTCTCTGCGGCCTCCCCGTTTTAACCTTGCGAAGGGTGCTTTATTAAATCTACAGAGACATCACCCGTGACTGTCCTGTGACAGAGTCCATCTGGCGCAACACCGAGGAGAATTCACAGAATCAGGTCAAAAAAACGGATTGCTCTCTCTCCGTTCCCACAGAAGCCGTAAATACCTCTCCCCTTACAAGGAAGAGACGTTCTCCCTCGGAGCGTGATTCTGTAAAAATAACTCCGGAATGAAGGGAATTATCTGCGGGGGTGGCGTTATCAGCTGTCCCCTCAAGACCACCAGCTAGCCGCAGCTGGGCCTTGTCAATGACATGGAGATCACACCCCGGTGCCCGCACTCACACCCCCCCCGAAATCGACATACCTGAACCAGCCCGGAGTAACATTGGGGTGCCGGTGGGTAGACGGGTAGGCTGTAGGGGTGCAGAACCACAGCCGGAGGGGACAGCATGGCACATAATAAAGTCAGGGCCCGATCACCCAGTCCCAAAAGGAGTCACGCACACCTCTGTCCAAGCGGCTTTGGCACCAGCTGAGGGAGTGCTGAGTGGCAGATGGGACGGTGCCATTGAAAGACGCCAACAGCTGCAGAGAACACAAGCGCCTGTCACAGGCTGCCTGGGCAAGAGCATCTGCACGGGGATGGAGACTCACCGGGGGGGACACATGATTTCATGTGGCATAAAGCAAGCATCAAGGTAATTGCAGGGATAGATATGACGGTTTCCACAGGCTTATGGCTGTCCCGTCACCATTTTCTTTTGTGCATCTCACATGCGCATAGGCTGAGAAGCTACCCGTGTTACACTTTCTCTTCTAGGCCCGAGTATTATTACGGAGCTATTGTTTTTGCTGAGTCTCAGTTCTCCTCACTACAGCCCCCATCCCACATGGGTTTTGTACATGCAGGTCCCAAGATCCCCAGCATAGCCTTTTTTGGTGCCTACACTGGACTCTTCCTCCCTTTGTCATCCACAGAAATCTGGTGGGATCCAGCCCATTTTTTAAAATGTATTTAGGTAATTTGGTTTCCCACTTTCCAGTGTGGACTCAAATGGCTTACCCAAAACACAATTTAAATGGAGACTCAGTGCGGTTTAGTGTTGGACTAGTATAAAGGAGCTGCGGTGGCTCAAGTGGTTAAGACGCTGAACTGCAGGCTGTGGAAGGTCAGTAGTTCAGCAGTTCAAGACCCGAGTGTGCCGCATGACGGAGTGAGCTCCCGTCTCTAGTTCCAGCTCCTGCCAACCTAGCAGTTCGAAAGCAAGACATTGCAAGTAGATAAATAGGTACCACTTCGGTGGGAAGGTAACAGCGTTCCGTGCGCCTTGGTGTTTAGTCATGCCGGCCACATGACCACGGAAACGTCTTCGGACAGCGCTGGCTCTTCGGCTTTGAAACGGAGATGAGCACTGCAACCCTAGAGTCAGACTCGACTGGCTTTCGAGCAAGGTAACCTTTACCTTTTAGTATCTATGTATGCCAACCTAGCAGTTCGAAAGCAAGAAATTGCAAGTAGATAAATAGGTACCACTTCGGTGGGAAGGTAACAGCGTTCCGTGCGCCTTGGTGTTTAGTCATGCCGGCCACATGACCATGGAAACGTCTTTGGACAGCGCTGGCTCTTCGGCTTTGAAACGGAGATGAGCACTGCAACCCTAGAGTCAGACTCGACTGGCTTTCGAGCAAGGGAACCTTTACCGTTTTAGTATCTGGGAGGCTCAGGTTAAAATCCCTGCTTGGTGTAGTGGTTAAGAGCAGCAGACTCTAATCTGGAGAACCGAGTTTGATTCTCTGCTTCTCCACATGCAGCCACCTGGGTGACCTTGAGCCAGTCACTGTTCTTTCAAGGGCAGTTTCTCTCAGAGCTCTCTCAGCCCCACCTACCTCACAGGGTGTCTGTTGTGGGGAGAGGAAGTGAAGGCGATTGTAAGCTGCTCTGAGACTCCGAGTGAAGGGCGGGGTATAAATCCAATCTCTTCTTCTTCCTCCTCCTGCGAAAGCTCAATGGCCCAGTCATTTTTGCACTCAGCCTGACCTACCACACAGAGCTGTTTTTTGTAAGGATAAAATGGAGGGGGGGGGAGAACAGCACTGCAAGCTACTTTGTGTTCCTCACTGGGGACTTTAATTGAGCAGGAGGAAGAATAAATAAATAAAGGTATAAAACCCAGAATAAATAAATAATTGAACAACAAAACAAAAATAAAACACCCTCAAGGAGTACAATGTATCCACTGGGCCAGCTCACTCTAGGCCAGTGGTGGCGAACCTATGGCACGGGTGCCAGAGGTGGCACTCAGAGCCCTCTCTGTGGGCACGCGTGCCATCGCCCCAGCCAGGCCCAGACCATCATTAAAGGGTCGAATTCTCTGCCAAATAATTTCAAGTAAATGAAAGCATTTGGGATTGCTTTCCTTAGTTTGTTTGGATCATCTTAAGTTAACGTATGAGTTGTTTTTTCTAAAGTAGAACCTCAGCATTCAGGTTAAATTGCCGTGTTGGCACTTTGCGATAAATGAGTGGGTTTTGGGTCGCAGTTTGGGCACTCAGTCTCTAAAAGGTTTGCCATCACTGCTCTAGGCCATGGGCTAAGACCAAGGGCCACGAATGCTTTGCTTTGAGCCCTTCAGCTCATGCCAAAAAGGCTTGATCCTCTGGCCACACTGGGGTTGCCTGGACTGGGAAATTCCTGGAGATTTTTTTTGGCCACTTCTGCACTGTCGGGTTTGTCACTCTTTTGTCCCTATTGCTTCAGGGTTCCCCCACCCCCCATGTGTTTTGCTCTCTCTGGTAGTCCCAGAGGGACCAAAACACATGTGAAAAAGGGGGGGGGGACGGACCCAAAGCCATAGGGACAAAAGACTGACAAGAATGACAGTGTGGCAGTGAAGGCGCCTGGGGAGAGCAGGGTACAGGGAGAGGAGGGACGCCAGCAGGGTATAATGCCATACAGTCCACCCTCCAAAGCAGCCATTTTATCCAGGGGAAACACATCTCTGTAGTCTGGAGATCAGTCATAATTCCAGGCAGGGGTCATTTCGTAGAAAAAGAGGTGCAGGAGCTCATTAGCATAACTTATTTGCATATGCAACAACCCCTGACATCACCGGAAGTGTGTCAGAAGGCAACACCCACTGCTCAGGCTCCACTGGACTGTTTTGGATTGCTAGCTATGGGGGGAGACGCACAGATCTGCCCTTGCAGATCCCCCATGGCCCACCCCCCAATCAAGCCCCTGCCACTGCCACCACCCCACAGGTGCCGGGAAAGATGGGTGGCGGGGTTCTGGAGGCCTTCCCCAGGCTCTGCACCTCAGTGCGGGTGGGGGGGGGGAGGCTCTGCAACTTACCTGGCTGCTTCTTGCTTTGACTGAGGGCTGCTGAGAGCAGGGGGTGGGGCTTGTTGCATATGCCCGCCCCCTGGGCTCTTTACTGCCGGAGCTCCGCTCCTGTGCGCTCCCACAGAAAATGACCCCTGATTCCAGGAGACCTCCAGTGCCCAGCTGGAGGTTGGCAACTCTAGACCACACTCTGGCTTCAATACCTGAAACAGGAAGTGAAACAGCAGCTCTTCCCAAATCTTATGCAGCAGGCTGACTTGGTCCCCTGACTTGCTAATGTATCTAGAGCACAACGCAGTCAAGTCAAGCACTTACAGCCTTATTCATGTCAATGGGAACATGTGTGTGTGTAAATATGTGCTTCATTTATAGCTTTGCCTAGTGCTGTTAGCAACCTCAGACAAGGGAGTATGAGGGGACATGTAAATATTAGAATCGAAAAAGAAAGCCTAACTCTCAAAGCACAGAGTAACAAGAAATCCAAGCAAGGGGAAGGGGGGGTTGCAAGCTCTGCGAAAGAAAATGGGAAGTGAACACAAAGGAACACCAGCAAAGGGAGGGGGGCTCTCTTGAAACTGACATGACTAGTTTGAAACTGACAAGAGTGTTTCCAACGCTGGAGAATTCCTCTGCCCCCCCCAAGTGCTTTGAAGTTTGGTAAACATTTTGACTGGAGACAGTCTTGGAAAGTTTTGCCAGTTGACCTGCCACAAACTTCAGTTCATGAACCACAAACCATCCAAAATTCGTCACGTTTGTGAGCCAGTTCGTGCCCATCCCTACTGGTGACCTTACTGGTCCGGCTTTACAGACATCACCTCCCCCACTCACCAAAATTTATTTCACCACTACGTGCTCCTCTGCTCCATCCTGAGGCACATGTACAAGGAAGTGAAGCCCTCCAGATAAAGCTGGAAGAACAAGACCCTGGTTGAGAAGAGACCAGGAGATGATCCATCTGTCCAAGCTCTACGTGGAAACATCTATGCCTTCGTTCCTATTTAAGCAACCGTGTCCCATGAGAAGCAATTAACCAGAGCAGTATGCTTTGTGGCAAACCTGAGAGCCCATTCACCACCTCATAAATGTGCAGCATTAGCATGCCAGTGTAACATCTTACCTGTGCCCAGGGCTTTTTTTGTAGAAAAAGCCCAGCAGGAACTCATTAGCATAATAGACCACACCCAACAGCAGAAACTCATTAGCATATTAGGCCACACCCCTGACAACATCGCTCATTAGCATGTTACCAGAAGTGTGGTCATCCAGCCACACCCACCTTTTGCTTCTTATTCTGTTTACCTTGTTTGATGTCAAAACTCAGGGCTTTTTTTGTAGCAGGAACTCCTTTGCATGTTAGGCCACACACCCCTAAAGTAGCCAATCCTAATGAGTTTCTGCTGTTGGGCGTGGCGTATTATGCTAATGAGTTCCTGCTGGGCGTGGCCAACTTGGGAGCCAGCCGGAACTTCGTTCCTGTGCGTTCCTGCCCAAAAATAGCCCTGCCTGTGCCACAGGTCTCTGGCATGTTAACATGGGCCAGGGTGTGTTTCAGGGGTCATTTCTTGCAGGAGCGCACAGGAGCGGCGCTCCGGCAGTAAAGAGCCCAGGGGGCGGGCACATGCAACAAGCTGCACTCCCTGCTCCCAGCAGCCCTCATTCAGAGCAAGAAGCAGCCAGGTAAGTTGCAGAGCTTCCCCCGCCCCGCCCCCCGTCCAAAACAGTCCAGTGGCACCTTTAAGACCAAGTTTTATTCAGGTACAAGTTCTCCCTCTTCTGCGAGGGCAGATCTTCACGTCCCCCCCCCAATCCAAAACAGTCCAGTGGAGCCTGAGCGGTGGGTGTTGCCATCTGACACACTTCCGGTGATGTCAGGGGGTGTGGCATATGCAAATAAGTTATGTTAATGAGTTCCTGCACCTCTTTTTCTACGAAATGACCCGAGGACACTAGTTGCATGGGACAAAGCTGGAGTCCAGTGGCACCTTTAAGACTAACAGAGTTTAATTCAGAGTATAAGCTTTCGTGTCAGCACCATTAACAAAGGCTGGAGCTACAAACCCTCCTACGCAGACGAAGGCTAAAGAAGAATTTTTGCTCCATATGATGAGGACTCTGTCTGTGCTACTTTCTCATGCAGCAATGATCACTACCAACCCATCTGAGAGACTCACGCACTCATTAGCATAATAGGCCACACCCAACAGCAGAAACTCATTAGGATTGGCTACATTAGGGGTGTGTGGCCTAACATGCAAAGGAGTTCCTGCTACAAAAAAAGGCCCTGGGTTTTGACAACAAGGTAAACAGAATAACGAGCAAAAGGTGGGTGTGGCTGGATAACCACACTTCTGGTAACATGTGGGTGTGGCCTAATGTGCTAATGAGCTGTGCCGTCAGGGGTGCGGCCTAATGTGCTAATGAGCTGTGCCGTCAGGGGTGCGGCCTAATGTGCTAATGAGCTGTGCCGTCAGGGGTGCGGCCTAATGTGCTAATGAGCTGTGCCGTCAGGGGTGCGGCCTAATGTGCTAATGAGCTGTGCCGTCAGGGGTGCGGCCTAATGTGCTAATGAGCTGTGCCATCAGGGGTGTGGCCCAATATGCTAATGAGTTCCTGCTGTTGGGTGTGACCTATTATGCTAATGAGTTCCTGCTGGGCTTTTTCTACAAAAAGAGCCCTGCTTGAGTCACAGGGTTGTTGTTGTGAGGATAACATGCTAAAACTGCAATGGTTGCAGCATTTCTCTCCCCCACCCTTTTCTGGAGATTTGAACCCGCCTACATGACGAGACGTTATTGGCAAAACTCTCTGCTGCTTCCTAGTGTCCCAAGGAGACCCTGCAGAGATCAGGATTCAGGAACATTTTGGTTTGGCTTCAGGTGGTGGTAGCTGTGCTGGTCCGAAGCAACAGAACAAAGTCTGAGTCCGGTGGCACCTTTAAGACCGACAAAGTTTTATGCTGGGTGTAAAAGCTTTTGTGTAACGTGAAACCTTATACCCAGAATTAAATGTTGTTGGTCTGAAAGGTGCCACTGGACTCAACCTTTGTTCTGTTTTGGTTTGGCATACAGTTGGGGAGGGGGGGTATCTTCCCAACAGGCTATGTTTTCAGTCCGAGCACCAAACAGCAGCAACATTATTCGGAAGGTGCTGGAGCAGCAGCAACAAAAGACAGGGGGGAAACAATGACTGCATTTTTCCTGACACGCTGAGCGCAAGCCAGGCCCCAGTGGGTTGAATGGGGCCTCAGGGGCATGCCTCGGTCCCTTGGGAGAGCCGGCCCTGTAGGCTGAGCAAAATCGTCTGCCGCGTTGCTGTTTGGCACTGCTGATTGGGCTTGCCAGCCTCTGCTGCAGCATGAACGCCTCCATCTGTACAATTCGGGATCTATTTTATTTTTTCTCAAAACGTGTGCGCTGTTTTTTCCAAGGAATTTGTGTTTCAATGTTTAGGATGCCAGACCAGGATCCATGAGGCTCGGGTTCAAATCCCCAGTGTGCCATGGAAGCTCACCAGGTGATGTTGGGCAGTGTTCCCTCTAAGCTGAGTTAGTGTGAGCTAGCTCACAGTTTTGTAGCCTCCGGCACACACATTTTTGTCTTAGCTCAGGAAGGATGGCTCAAGAGCAAACTAATTTATACAGTAGTCAAATTGCTTGCTCACAACTTTAATGCCAGTAGCTCACAAAGTAGAATTTTTGCTCACAAGACTCCACAGCTTAGAGGGAACATTGATGTTGGGCCAATCATGTTCTCTCCGCAGCGGGGAAATTGCTGTGAGAATTCAATGGGAGGAGAGGAGGTCAATGTTCTAACGTACTCCGGGACCCCATGAAGGAGAAAAGCTGGGCACAGATACCCAAATACATAAGTTGTGTCTCTCTCTCTCTGGTATTTGTGTGCGTGTGTGTGTGTCTGCACCTGGAAGTCAAGGCGACCTCTGGTGACTGACCCCTACTGGGGTCCTGGAGGATATTCAGAGAGGTGGCTGAATAAAGCCTGCCCCTGTCCTCCCAGCCCTGGTATTCCCTGGAAGTATCCTATCCAAGCACTAACCACAGTCAACCCTGCTTAGCTTCTGAGATCTGGCTTGCCTGGGCTATCCAGGTGAGGGCAAATAAATAAGTTCTTGTTGTAGGGTTGCCAGCTTTGGGTTGGGAACTTCCTGGAAATTCTGTGGATAAAGCCTGGGGAGGGGGGGATTTGGGAGGGGACGGACCTCAGCCGAACAGAATGCCACAGACACCAACTTCCAAAGCAGCTGTTTTCTCCAAGGGAACGGAACTTTGTCATCTGAACAGCAGTGGTAGTTCCAGGAAATCTCCAGCCATCACCTGGAGGTTGGCAACCCTGTCTTGGTGGCTAACAAGAAAGTCATGTGGGTAGAAAACAAACCTTGGGGCCTGTGCTTTCCTTAGCTGCAGGCCACTGAAAGAATCCAGCAGTTGGAGTAATGATTTTAAATGGAGGGCTGAAGCAGTTGGCATCCCACATCAACAGGGCTGGCCAATAGAGGGCTCTCCAAACAGATCCCCCCCTCACTCTGCCGTAAAGCATGCTTAGTTAACTTCTGCCCTTCCTACTCAGTTTAACCTACTTTGCAGGGCTGTTGTGATAAACCAGAGGGTTAACTGTACACTAGCCGAAGCTCTTCAGGGGACAGGCAAGATTAAATGTACTAGATAGACAGGGATAATACTTGGATCCTATTATGACGGCATCACAAGGAGAATCAAAATTGTAAGGCATTCTCTGCGCATCCCAGAACGGCGTTACAAAACCTTCCGTCACCGAAACCTCCCCCCCTTTACACTCCAATCCTACGCAAAGTAGGGCGTGAGCGAGCCATTTGGAGGGCCCAAGGGACACACAACTCTGCACAGCTTCGGGTTATAAATTTGAACCGTGCTACAAAGGCAAGGCATGTGCCATAAAGAACAAGACAGCAGAAGTTGCACTGGGGGGGGGGAAATAATGTATAAAGATTTTTTTTTAAAGACCTTATAAACTGCACACATCCAGCTCTGTGAGGAAGTCAAATCAATGGACCTTAAGTACCAGTTACTTTACGGCTGTTCTTGCCTGGCTGAGGCTGTACCTCTGTCTCTGGAGGGATGAAGGAGGAAGAGAGACCAGCATGAAAATTAAGGGAAATGTTGTAGGTTTGCTTTGGAGGGCCAGCCAATGGCTTTTCCCAGACTTAACCCACTTGCAAAGGCCACAGGCCCACTTTGCTGCCCCTGAGGACAAGCGGGCCAGGACCTTGGGCCCATTCTCTCTGGCAACCAAAACGGGAGAAACTGGCTGTACAGGCCGCAGGAGAAGGCCGAGAGCCTTCGAATCAGGGAAAGCCCCCTCCGGCTTGGCCACTCTCCCTTTTGCCCTGGGGGCGGTTCTGTGTATGGTACGGCCAGCTTGGTGTCGAAGTTGAAGTGCTGTGCTAGGAAATGGTGTGAAGGGGAAAATGGTAGCCGGCCGGCCAAGAATGCCCCTTGAACTCCTTGGAGGAAGGGTGGAATGAAAATGTGCTGAATAAATTAATCTGTGAAAAGACATGTGACGGTCACCTCAAGGCTAGACTACTGTAACACTCTCTACACGGAGCTGCCCTTGGTGCAAATCCGGAGGTTGCAGCTAGTGCAGAACGCCGCGGCCAGCCTATTGCTGTGTCTCCCTAGATGGGAGCACATCCAGCCTGCACTGGCTGCCAATAGTATACCAAATTTGCTTCAAGGTGCTGGTACTTACCTTTAAAGCCCTATATGGCCAGGGTCCGACATATCTGAGGGACCGCCTTTCCCCATATATACCCCAGCGAGCACTACAGTCAGGGATGCAACATTGACTGGTCATTCCAGGCCCTAGGGAGGCCAGGCTCACGGCCACTAGAGCCAGGGCTTTCTCAGTGGTGGCTCCTTACTGGTGGAATGAACTCCCAGAAGAGATCAGGGACCTGCGGGATCTTATGCAGTTCCGCAGGGCCTGCAAGACGGAGCTCTTCCACCAGGCATTCAACTAGGAGCCGCCCTTATTACCACCAACGACCACCACTAATATCTGCATAGAGACTGGCTGTTGTGAGGCAGAGTCAAACCACCTGCGAGCCAGTAGCTGTGGAGCTACATGATATGCTATGCCATCTTGGTAAACTAGGGTTGCCAACCCCGAGAGCGTCCCCCGCGGGGGGGGCCGCACGACATAGGGCACGTTGGGGGCGTGGCCCAGATCGTCGGGGGGGGGAACCATATGGTTCCCCCCTGACGGTCTTGGCCACGCCCCCAACGTGCTACGTTGTGCGTCACTTCCAGTGATGTTCTGGCGGCACGCGCGCACATCCCCAGCCAGCTCCCGGAGCGAGAAGACGCTCCCCCCACCGGTGAGTAAATTAGATTTGGCAACCCTATGGTAAACAACAACTACAGAGTACATTTATTTAAATGTTGATTAAATGTTTTAATAATGTTTTGAGCTTTAATGTGTTATATATGAATCTGGCATCGAGCCAGGCAGTGTGAGCCGCCCTGAGCCCGCTTGCGGGGAGGATGGATTATAAATATAATAAACAAACAAGCATTCATCCATTCGGCCCAGCCAAAACCATTATACAAGACATTTACAGTGTAACCCGGGACAGAGGAATACCCTAAGACCCCTGAGCCCAATGTCCTTGGAGGGGGGTGTCATTCTGCTTAGGTTGGCACTGCTAGTTACCCACCTGGTTCTCCCCAGGGCCTTACACCTGCCACAACACACCAACCACCACCACAGCCTTCCGTTGTGGCAAAACCCTCGACCCCCGCAACTTAATAGTCACATTTACCCTGCCCTATATGCTCCTCATAAAAGAGACTTAGCGGTGGACATCCCCCCTCCCCGGTATAAATACCACACAACAATGAGCCACAAAAGGCTGGCACACACTTTATTTGGTTTTGCATTTCAGCTTTGCAAAGAGCTTCAAGGTCGGGTTGAGTTCTTTTCCAGGAAGGAGGCGTGTAGCGGGGTGCGCAGGCAGCCAAAAGATACAGAAGTCACAGGCCTGGCGTACGGAGCTCAGCACTGCACCCAAAGCCCACTGCCTGACCACACGACAGAAGCCCTGGCCCAACCTCCATGCTGGTTTCTGACCTTTCACGAGACACCACCCCACCTGTTTCCACGAGTTCCCTCCTCATGAGGACTAGAATCCTGCTTTTCCTTACCGGGGGGGGGGGGGGAGTAGAAGACTCTCTCGCTTATATGGTTCACGAGAGTAGCCAACTTATTTTTAACCCTTTGGGAGTTTTTATACTTAAAAAAAACCCCAAACAGCTGCACAACAGATAAAAATTCAGCACATGCAGCTTTTCTCCACAAAAGCTTTGCCTGGGGGGGTCTTGGGTTCTGTGGATCTGAGTTCCACTGCTTGGACACAAGCTCAGTAGACTCTCGATTCCCAGCTCCCCATGACCCTTGTCTCCCTCGTACCTCAAGCTAGCACCTTATCAGATGGCTTCTTCCTTCCCAATCCTAGAATAATAATAATAATCTCCCTTTATCCTGCTCCACTTGTAACTTCTCCACACCTCTCCTTGATCCCATTTTCTCAGCGGCCAGCCGTCGAGCATCCCCTGCAAATGCCATTCTGACCTGTGGTAACGGGCAGACTTCTAGAAAGCCGAGTGGGACAGTCCCCTCACTTACGGCTTGATTCCTGTGTTGACTGCTCAAGTGCCCTCCACCACTATAAACCCAAAGACGCCTGGCCAACTCGTAGTGCTCCCGCTTTCCCCCAAACTTGTTCAGACCGGCCTCACTCAAAAACCTCTCTCGAAACACTTTGTCGGGTGTCAGCCCTGAAAGGAGCGGGCAGCAGGTTCAAGGCAAACAAACAGATCATAATAAAGGAAGGAAGTTCTTGCTTGGGCCGTGGAACTTTTCATGCATCAGCAGAAACAGCTTTTATAAAAAATATGCAAAGAAGAGGTCTGCCAGGGACGACGGGCCGTGACACCTACAAACGCAACCTCTGCATCCAGACGCACGTTGATACCGCAGACCGACACACTCTGAGGACCGGCCGGGTTGGGTTATCGCCCCCCACGCCCTGCTTGCGAACTCCTCGCCCCAAAGAGGTCACTATTGGAAGACCCAGCGTGGCTATTCTTATCGCTTAATTCAATGTGCCAGGAGGAGACCCTCCACCATTTTGTACTGCAGCCTTTATTCCGTACTATCCCAGGACAGGCCGAGTTTTTGAAAAGCAAGGGAAAGCCGGGGAGAGGGGAGGCCCTTATATCCTGGAGGAGAGGGAAGATGGATTTCAGGAAGTCAGCTCCGAGACTGGCAGTGCGACGGGAGTGCGCTGCCCCCTCCTCCCCACGTCACATGCAGCCATCGTAAGGAGTGGGGTACAGCAGATGGCTCTGGGTGCAGATGGCTTTCTTTGGTGCCAAGGTTCACTTGACGGTGCTTAGCCAGCTCCCGGCTTCTTCTGCCTCATGGGGCACAACCAGTAGCAACTCGCAGGGACCCTGAGAAAGCACCTCTTGGAGGAATAACCTGCAAGGGGATACAAAGAGGGTCAGGGAACGGGACTTCCTAACAACAGGGACCAATTCTTTTGTTTCCAACTGGTATTGTCAGATCCAGAAGAAAATACATTCTATAGGTGTCTCTTTGGACAACCTCTGCATGTTAAGCGAAACGCAGGCATTTAGAATTTTGAAACAGAGGGTCCTAGATATGGAGAAACAGACGATCTGTTCTCTTGAACACAAAACTTGCTCCCCTTTAGCATTTGGTATCTTTCCAGAATATGGACTGCCTGCCGCTTACCATTCCCAGATTACCGCACCCCAGTTACGCCGCTCTTTTATGTTAGCAAGACTCAATGTTTTACCCTCAGCGGTATTGTCTGGGAGGTTGGCCAACACTCCCTATCAAGAAAGACTTTGTCCATGTAAAGGAAGGCACCCAGAAATGGTAGCCCATGTTCTACTTCATTGTGATTTTTATGGGGAAGTGCGGGACTGTATAATTAAACCTATGGTGTCTAACTTTCACGATCTATCTGAGGCTAAGTATCTCTTTTATTTTATTTATTTATTATATTTATAACCCGCCCTCCCCACAAGCGGGCTCAGGGCGGCTCACATTGCCTGGCACAGTGTGCCCGGTTCCTACACATCAAACATTTAAAACTTAAAACACTATTAAAACATTTAACCAATCAACAATATGCAAGTAAAGTGCAGTCAGTGATTATTACCCAAGATGGCATAACATGTCATGGAGGCTCAGATGGTTACAGGCGCCTAAGCGTATTGGCTCAAACTCACTACAGCCAGCCTCCACCATAGGTATTAATAGTGGTCGTTGATGGTAATGTGGGCGGCTCCTAATTGAAGGCCTGGTGGAAGAGCTCCGTCTCGCAGGCCCTGCGGAACTGCATAAGATCCCGCAGGGCCCTGATCTCCTCCGGGAGCTCGTTCCACCAGTAAGGAGCCGCCACATATCTGACCTATGTTCCCACATCACAAGTTCAGTTGCAAGGTACCTTCTGGCTGCCATAACAACCAGGGAGCAAAAGTCTAGCTTTCCTATGTGATGCTCGATTGTTTTTATAACTGAAATTCTCTGTAAATTGGCCATGTTGTACCTTTTTTCTTTTTATGCCAATAAAGGTATTTGGATTGGATTGGATAAAAGCAGGGACAACACTAGAGGACACATGAAGTTGACTTTTACCAAGTCACACTATTGGGTTATCTAGGACAGTATTGTCTACTCTGACTGGCCGTGGCTCTCCAGGGTTTTGTGTCACCGACTACCGAATCCTTTTAACTGGAGATGATGTGAATTGAACCGGGGACCTAATGCATGGAAAAGAGACACGCTAACACTGAGCCACAGCCCCATCCCTGGCTGCTTTCCCACATCACTGGATAACGCACTCTCAGTGCATTAATTGCAGCTGCACTTTTCCTGTGCGGGACGGGAAAATCCAGTTGCAAATGGTTGCGAGAGCACTTTGAGGGTGAATTCTCCAATGGTGTGTGCAAGCGGCCCCTGAGAGCACACCACCAGCTATTCTCAGCATTTGAGCACCTTCCCCGGGAGACTGCAGTCTTCGGAGTGCTGCTTCTCCCACACACACTCTCCACTCCACACGCCTGTACTAGAGGCACCAGTAAGGATGACGTCCTCCAGGGCATCCCAAAGAGGAGCCGCAAAAGGTAACAGGAGAGTTAGTGGGCTGGTCTTTAAAATAGTAAGATGCCCAGTAGCGCCTTGAAGACTAACAAACTTTATTGTAGCATCAGCTTTCGAGAAACACTGCTCTCTTTGTCAGGTGCACGGAGGGTATGAAGAACCTGGCCAGAGATATATAGGTGGGGACCCTCCATGCACCTGACGTGTTTCTCGAAAGCTGATGCTACAATAAAGTTTGTTAGTCTTCAAGGCGCTACTGGGCATCTTACTATTTTGCAACAACAGACTAACACGGCTAACTCCACTGGATCTATGGGCTGGTCTTTGCAATTCAAAAAGAGCAAAGTGCTGCAGCATCTTGTGACCCACCCTGAGCCTGCTTGCAGGGGAGGGCGGGATGTCAATCAAATAAAATCAGTCAATCAATCAATCTTTCGGAATAACTAGTCATGTGTACCACTGACTTCCATGTTCTCTGGGGCCGTAGGGCTCTTTTTGTAACAGGAACTCCTTTGCATATTAGGCCACACACCCCTAATGTAGCCAATCCTCCAAGAGCTTACAGAGCTTACAGGAGCTACTGTAAGCTCTTGGGGGATTGGCTACATTAGGGGTGTGTCACTTAATATGCAAATGAGTACCTGCTACAAAAAGAGCCCCATCCCACACTGCCTATAAACTGCCTCCCACTAGAGAGAGGTTTGACAGGTAACATGAACTCATGAAGCTGCCTTACATTGAATCAGATCCTTGGTCCATCAAAGTCAATATTGTCTTTTCAGACTAGCTACAGCTCTCCAGGGTTTCCAACAGAGGTCTTTCCCATCACTTACCACCTGATCCTTTAACTGGCAATGCTGGGGATTGAACCTGGGACCTTCTGCATGCCAAGCAGATGTTCTACAACTGAGCCACAGCCCCTCCCCTACGGTCAATGTTGGATGATCTTCTGTTTGTACTAACTAGTTGTGCCGGGAACGGCTATGCTGAGACTTTCAATCCTGTTGCTCCAGCAACTGTTTTGAGACTTGATTCAGCCTCAACAATTAAATCTGACTGAGTGCCAGTCTGGTACAGCGGTTAAGAATAGGATTTAGGATCTGGGAGAGCCAGGATCAGAATCCCCCGCTCTTGCCATAAAGCCTGCTGGATGACCTCGATAATTACCAGAGTCATATCCAATGCGCCCTCTAAGCTGTGGAGTCTTGTGAGCAGAAATTCTACTTTGTGAGCTACTGGCATTAAAGTTGTGAGCGAGCAGTTTGGCTACTGCATAAATTAGTGTGCTCTGGACTCTGGAGCCCTCCTTCCTGAGCTAGGGCAAAAATGTGTGAGCCGGAGACTAAAAAACTGTGAGCTAGCCCACACTAACTCACCTTAGAGGGAACATTGGTCTTAGCTGTGTTAGTCTCTTTTAGCAAAATGAAAACAGAAGTCCCGGGGCCCCTTAAAGACTCAAGAGCATTTCCCCCAGCCTGAGCTTTCCTGAGTCAGAGCTCACTTCTTCAGATGCTACAAAGAGGAAACAGCCCACATTTTTATAGGGAAAATTAGAAAAGGGGGAGAGAGCACGGGGGATGGAGTTTAGGGCAGAGAGACGTTTGGTATAAATCCTTCAGGGGTGAAGGGATTAGGTTGTTCCACAGAATGGATGAGGAGAGAGGTCACAGCTCCCAGCTTCTCTGTCATGCTTCTACAGTCCCGCAGGGCCTGCAAGACGGAGCTCTTCCGCCAGGCTTCCGCGTAGGAGCCGCCGCCGCCACTACTACCAACGTATGAGCGCAGAGCAGTACCGCCGGGCTGGTGTTGATTGACCATGGAACATCACGGTCCGTGGCATCCTCCTTGTGGATCCCAATGTGATGTGCAATAGGTAGGGAGCACGTAAATCGCGATGGAGCCTGTGAACGTCCACTTGTGTTGAATCGTTTTAGCTTTTATTTTATTGCACTGTGTACCTTAACTGGTTTTAAATTTGTGGTAAACTTGTGGTATTGTATTATATTTGTGTTTTGTAAGCCGCCCTGAGCCCGCGTACGGGGAGGGCGGGGTATAAATGAAATTAAATAAATAAATAAATAAATAAATGATCTTCTGAACAAAAATGAACAAATATTTAGGAGGATAAACAACAACCAGATTGAGGAAGATGCAGGCCGAAGCACAGTATGCCCACTCATCCACTCACTCTCTTTCAGCCTAATCTACCCTCCCGGGTTCTTACAAAAGCTAAACCTTTCTTACTTAATTTCAGTTCCGCCTTTCTCCTCAAGACTCACTGGAGGAGAGAACGCGGTATGTGGCCCTGAGCTCTCTGGAGGAACAGTGGGATAAAAACATGCAGACTAAAATAAAAATATTTAGGGCATTACAATTTAGGGTTGCCAGGTCCAGGTTGGGAAATACCTGGAGATTCAGGGGGTGGAGCCTGAGGAAGGCGGGGTTCGGGGAGGGGAGGGACTTCAATGGAATATAAAGCCATGGAGTGCACCTTCCAGAGAGCCAGTTTGGGGTAGTGGTCAGGAGTGTGGACTCTGATCTGAACCAGGTTTGATTCCCCACTCCTTCATATGCAGCTGCTGGTGTGACCTCGGGTCAGTCACAAGTTCTCTCAGAGCTGTTCTCTCAGGAGCAGTTCTCGAGAGAGCTCCCTCGGCCCCACCTACCTCACAGGGAGTCCGTTGTGGGGAGGGGAAGGGAAAGGAGGCTGTAAGCCACTCTGAGACTCCTTCGGATAGTGAAGGGCAGTTGTCTCCTGAGGCCTGGGATCATGTTGGGCATTTGCGTCCTGCATGGCACGTGCTTTCCTACCATCTTTCCTAGCCCACGAAACTGGTTCTTGCCTATGACCACGATTACCCAGTTCTCTCTGAATCTGTATGCTGGGAAGCTTTGCCATGAACAGGTGAGGCGTGGGCATTCAAAATAAATAGAAACAGAGGTTAAAAATACCCTGCATCCATCGCACACACAAACACAGACAATCCTGAGAGACTCTCAGTGACATCCCAAGCAGAGCTACACCCTTCTTAGCCCACCAATAAGAATAGCGTTAGAACCCTGTTTAGTAACGCATGGTTACGGGACACCGAGCACCTGGAGTCTAACCCTCTTCCAGCTATTCTATCTTGATTTGATCCAGCATAACCATCGGGGACTGATTGATAGAGACCCAGCATTTCCCCACTCAGGCTTCACCAGGGGTCGTTTCGTAGAAAAAGAGCTAGGGGAACTCATTAGCATAACTCATTAGCATATGCCACACCCCCTGACATCACCGGAAGTGTGTCATAAGGCCACACCCCCTGACATCACCGGAAGTGTGTCATAAGGCCACACCCCCTGACATCACCGGAAGTGTGTCATAAGGCCACACCCCCTGACATCACCGGAAGTGTGTCATAAGGCCGCACCCCCTGACATCACCGGAAGTGTGTCATAAGGCCACACTCCCTGACATCACCGGAAGTGTGTCATAAGGCCACGCCCCCTGACATCACCGGAAGTGTGTCATAAGGCCACGCCCCCTGACATCACCGGAAGTGTGTCATAAGGCCACACCCCCCGCCCCCAATGATCCCGGCTGCCGCC